CCCCCCCCCCTTACAGCGGCTTCAGTTTTTGGCACAAGGAGCTGTTTGGGCTGGCAGCCCCCAACCCGCTGGGGAAGGAGGCAATCCCGGGGGTGCCGGTCCTCCCTCAGCCTCCTGGAGCCCCCCCAAGCCCAGCCCTCGCATCCCTGAACAGGCACCGCAGCTCTCAGCGCAGGGGAGCCCCCCACCCGCAAGGCCCGGAGGCAGCGATCGCAAGGGGGCAAGGGGGCCGGCCTCCAACCCCCCGCCCCCCCCCTCCCCAAAGAACAAACACCGGCCCCCCCCCCGGCCCCCCCCCCCCTCCGGCCCCTGGGTTTCAAAGAAAGGAAAGGGGCCCCCCCCCCCCAGGCAAAGAAGGCCTTCCACGTTTCAGTTCCTGAGTTTCGGGGGCCACGGCCAGCCCCCTCCCTCCGGGGGGAAGAGGACCCCCCCATGGAGGCTCTAAGGCTGGGGCATGCAAGGGGGAGGAGCTTTCCACCAGACAGCAGGCCCCCCCAGTGCCCCCCCCGCAAAGCCCCCTCCAGCAAGTCCCCCAATGGCTTTCTTTGCATGCTACAAGTGAGCCCGACGGAAGGCCGGGCTCCCAGCCTCCTTGAGAGCCTTCAGCCCCGCTGGCTGAGGCCACCAGCCCCCCCCCCTTTCTGGCCTACTCCCCCCACATGAAGGGCAGGAGGGCCAGGCAGCCTGAGCCCCCGGCCGGGGGAGAAGGCCCTCCCAGGGCCACAGTAAGGCAGGCCCCCAATCTCTCGGTCCCGGCCCTTCCCCAAAGACTGGAGCGGAGGGGAGGACGGAGGGAGGGGCTGCGTTAAAGGCACCTGGGCCGCCCGGTTCCCTTCCCATCCACATCCCTGAAGGTTCAAGAGCAGAACCTGCCATGGCTTCTTCTACACTCAAAAAAGGTTACTTTAAAGGTGAACCCCGCCATTACGCCGCCCCCCCCCCCCCCCATTTCTGAAGGTCGCTCTGCAGGCCGCCATCCCAGCCCACGGCTTGTCTCCCAAAATGCCCACTTCCAAAACTGAAAGACAGTGCAATGTTCCCACCCCCCCACCCCCCCGAATTCTCCCTCCCAACGCATCTTCCGCCACGGACGGGAGGCACCGCCTGGCTCTGACCAGGAAGGGAGAACCCCCCCTGCTCCAGAAAGCAACAAGAGAGATTCAGACAAGCCACCCCAGCTACCGACCCCCCCAAGAGAACTGAGGGGGGCCCATCGGAGGTGCTGTGGCTGCGTTGGCCGGGCAGAAATGGCCCCCCGGGGAGGGTGGGGGGGCTTGCAAGCCACCCTCAGGACATGAAAAACTGCATTTCACCTGCAATGCGCACGCGGGCACACGCATATACACACACACACACACACACACACACACACACAAAGCAACCCCCACCCCCACCCCCGCACGTTTAGTGAAGCCCTCCTCGCCGCCCTCCTGCCCCCCCAGCCAGGAAAACCTTGCTACATGACACCTTGGGTGGCCGCATCCCAACCCGCCCGCCCCCCCCGCCCTAAGTATCCACCGCAGCCTTGGGGGCCAGCAGGATGTGGGGCGTGTCCAGGCCGCCGGCCCAGGAGGCCTTCCTGCCGGGGGTCTCCTCGGGGTCTCCCGCCAGCCGGTCCCCGTTCCAGCGACGCTTCAGGCGCAGCTTGGGGGGCATGAGGGCGTCCTCCCTCCTCTCCGGGGCCCCCGGCTCCCCCCTGGGCTCCTGGGCGGGGGGCTTCTCAGCGGCCCCTTCCTCCTGCTTGAGCTTCTTGGCCAGGCCAGGCACCACGGAAACGCCCGGCCAAGCCGGGGCGGACGGGTGCAGGAAGAGCGTCTTTTCCCGCAGCAGCTCCGGGCGTTGGGCTGCAGGGGCCGCGGCCTCGCTCTCCTCCCGCCCGGCCGGGACCCTCTCGGAGGAGTCAGTGTCGCCGGGCTCCTCCGCCAAAGGCCGCTCCAGCTTGATGCGGGGCGCCGGCAGGGGCTGCCCGCTGGCCCCCTCGCTCTCGTGGCGCTCCCGGTGTTTGCGCCCGGCGGGCGGGGGCTGCAGCTTGATGGGGAAGGGCGGCTGCTCCTCGGGGGGGGCCGGCTGGCAGGGCAGGGGCGGGAGGAGGAGGCCCGGGTAGCGTGGGAAGGTCCGGGGGCTGAGGTGGTAGTTGAAGACGGAGCAGGCCTGGGAGTGCAGGTAGTGCTTCATCTCCTCAGGGCTGAAGGAGAAGCAGCTGCTGCCGCCCGGCGTGAAGGGGCTCATGGCCGAGGAGGGGCTGTAGGAGAAGAGGGTGGGGGTCAGCGACAGGGCGGGGGAGAGGGGCACGTTGAGCACCCTTCCGCGGGGAGGGAGGGGCGACCCGGCAAAGGGGCTGTGGGCGTCTGGGTAGAGGCCGGCCCGGCCGAAGAGGGGCAGCACCAGGTCCGACTTGCGCTTCGGGTGGTCGACGGTGCCCGGGGCGGCCGCCGTGTTGCGGGAGGCCAGGAGGTCGACCCTGCGGTGCCAATCCGGAGAGGCCCCGTCCAGCTCCAGCGCCGGAGACGCCTTCTCGTCCGCGCTGCCATTGCTGAGTGCCTCCTGTCCCGGGGGCCCCAGGGCTCTGCCCGAGAAGCAGCCCGGCTGGGAGTCCTCGCTGGGCGACTGGCCCTCCAGGGAGAAGTGGAAGCGGGACGAAGCCGTGGGCACCGGAGGGGCGCTCTGTGGCACGGCGCCTGGCAGGGAAGAGAGGAGGAGGAGTCAGGGGAGGGTCCCCGGAATACAAGCCCACCCAAGAAGTGGGACTGGTCAGGGAGCCCCGGCAACCCAACGACTGGCATCCAGGCCTGGGGACGCAGCCCAGAGGCCCAGCCCCTCCCTCCCTCTGCTGCTCGCAGGGGGAGGGGTCTTTCTCAAAGGCTCAGGTCTGGCCCCCCCCCCCCCCCCTAAGAACGAAGCTGCAGCCAAGGCCCCCCTTTAGCCCGGCCCCCCCCCCCGACCCCCAAATGACGGAGCAACTCAGGGGCCAAGGACCCACTCCTGCCCCCTCCCCCCAACACGGCCCTCTCCCTGGCAGAAGCGGGCCCAGGAGATCCTTCTGGCCTTGCAGCTCTCTCCCTGCCGGCCGTGGAGACTCAGCCGCGGCCCCCTCCCTCCTTCCCGAGCAGGGCGGGGCCTTCACCTCCCCAGGCAAGAGGAAAGACAACAGGCTGTAATCCCAGGGCAGCCTCCAGCCGCTCTGCTCGCTCAGGGAGCCTCAGGGAGCGCAGGGCGTGGCCGAGAGGAATCAGGGTGAGCAACTGCCCGGACTTGTTCCTGCACTTGTCCAGGCCACGGGAGTGCAGCCCTGCTCTGCTCTCGAGGCCCGGCTTTCGGCTGAGGGCTGCCAGGTCACGTGGACGGAGCCCCTCCAGCAAGGAGCACTTGCGCCCCCCCAAAAGGCAGAGCTGCCAGTCCAAAGAACCGGCAGGCAACCACACCGCTAGGCAGGAAGAGAGAAAGGCAAGGACTCCACCGGGCCCCCTCCCCACAGAAAGGAGCTGCTCTTTGGCCCCCTCCACCGGAAGGCCGAGGGACGGAGGCCGCCTGCACCAGGAAGGGGCTCTGGCGGAGGGGAACCCTAACCCGTGGCTGGGGCCCTTTCAGGCTCTGGGGGTCCCTTGGGGCAGAGCCCTGGAGAGCCGCTGGGCTCGCCCTCTTCCCAGCCACACCCAGCACTGCCCAAAGCGTCACTCCAGGAGACCGGAGCTCCTCTGCCCACACCGGGGAGGGCGTCTCTCGTGGCTGCTTTTTCCCCCCAAGCCCAGGAAAAGTGGCAATGTAGCGCCAGCGGCTGCTGGGTCCAACCCTCGCTCCGCCAGCAGCCGAGCCCCCGGTGTGTCCTTACAACCAGAGGGGGGGGAAGGACCTGCAGTGGAATCCGTTGCTGGAGAAGCGCTTGAGGGGTGCAGGAGAGCAGGCGGGTCTGGCAGCGCCAGGAATCAAGGGGCACTCGGCGAAAGGGGGAAAGCCAAAGGCGGAGAAGGGCCCCACTTCAGCTGGGGGGAGGAGCCACGTGCCCAGCCAGAAAGGTTTGGGGTCATGGGGAACAGTGTCCAGCTGCCCCCCACCCAATTTCCAGGGGCCAGGCATTTGCCTTCCTCAGCCAGCCTCCTCTGCAGGGAGCGCGTGGGATTGTTGCCAGCCAGGCTCACTCACAGAGCAAATGGAAATATTCCTCTCACCAACCCATCAGGCCTCCCCCTGCAACCAGACCCTGCAGACTGCTCACCGGTGGGGCAGATGTTAAGGAAGGGGTAACTGGGCATCACCAGTTTGTTGAAGTTGAACTTGTAGGTGAACCTCTTGCCTTTCGTCTTGTGCAGGATCCGCTTGTTGTAGTAGTACCTGCCGAGGAAGGAAAGCCGTCCGTTGCTCTCCTTGGGAGGCAGCCAAGCAGCAGACCCAGCCCTTCTGTCTGGCCAATACGGCCTTTGCACCCAGGGAAGCGTTTGCCCCCCACGCACCCCCACAGAGGGGAAGGGAGACGGAGGGAGGGAAGAACCCTGCAAGGTACATTAGATTTCCCCTCCGTTACGCCAATGCAGGCGGCGCCTCCTTGCAGGGGGCAGAGGGCAGAAGGCTGGCAAGGGTGCTCAGCCAAGCCTCAGCTTCCTGGGAAGAAAAACCAAGGACGTACCACCCGGGCCACCAGCACTCACAGCCTGGCACCGACTCAAGTCTGTCGCTCTGCCAACGTAGAGGGTGGGGCACGGGGAAGATCCCAAGAAGGCAGCCAGGGGACGCCAGGAACTTCCCGGAGTGGAGTTCAGACCCCGGGAGTTTTTTTCGCACAGGTGGCTCCTTGGCCACCCAGACCCGCCCAGGAAATCTATCCCCAGTCAGGATCCAGAACTACGGGGAGCCTGCAGGGATGTTGGCGCCAGGCTCGTGGTGCGCCGGGGAGCGTGCATCAATGAGCTTCAGTCCTGACGAAGGCAGGTGGGCTTTTCCAGCCAGCCTCAAGAACCCAGAGCCCAAAGATACCGGAGGACAAGCCTGCTCTCCAGGTGTCTCCCGCTAAAGAGGGCTGGCATTCCCCAGGCCGGTCAGGGATCACGGAAAAACTCAGATCCATCTACGCCCGCGGGGCTGCCTTCCAGGGCCTCGGGTCAGCCTCCCTCCTTCTCCGCCAGCCCCACGCTCACCTGAGAGCCCGGCTCAGCTTGTCGTAGTTCATCTGGGGCTTGCATTTCCTCCGGCCCCACAGCCGGGCCACCTCGTCCGGGTCCTTGATGACAAACTCCCCGTATTCCCCCTGCTGCCAGGCGATCACGTGCCGGAACTCCTCCTTCTGCAGCAGCTCCAGGATGAAGTGCCAGAGCTGGATCTGGCGGGAGCCCGGGCTGGATTCGGTCTTGTACGCCCAGTCAGGGAAATGGTAGCCTGGAGACCACAAAGCAGAGCCAGGGGTCAGAAAGAAGGGACCCAACAATCTCTGCCCCTTGCCGAGCGGCGGAGAGGCCGCCGCTTTGGCTGAAAAACCATGGGAGTAGAAGTCACCCGGGGTTCCCGAGGCGGCAGGCACAGCCGCTGCCACACTCTCCGGGGCCAGAGCAAAGGGACTGGCAGCCCAGGAAAGAAGGGGGCAAAGAGGCTCCCATCTCCCGATCCCCCAGCCACGGCCTTGCCATCTTTGCCGGGGAGAACCGGAGCCCCCCAACCAGCCTGCCCAGAAGCCGCCTCACCTCCTCCTCCTTCTGGTTTCTCCACAATGGGACAGCCTGCCTTCATGTCTCTGCTCCTGCTGCAAGGGTGGCCGGAGGCAGGGGGAGAAAAGGGGAGGGGAAGCGGGGTTACCTCCCGGCACAGGCAACGCACCCTCTCCTTTCCCACAAAGCCAACCCGGGCTTTCCCTGCTGCTGCTGCTCCTGCGGCTGCTGCTGCGGCTTTTATCAGAGCGGCCATCGCACCCCACCCAGTTTGGCTGCCGACTGTAAACACGGCGCTGAAGATCAACACCCGAGCGGCTCCCGGGGCTGCTGACACGCCCGCGGGAGGGAGAGAGGATTTCCTCGCCGGCCGCTCCGAGCGGGGAGGAGGGAGAAGCATCCGCTTCGCGGGGAGGAGGACGCCTCTCCTCCCGCAGCCCCAGCCCCATTCCCGGTCCCAGCCTCGCAGGCTCCGCTTCTGCCCAGCGGCCTCGTCTGGGAGCCCGGAGGAGCAACTCCCCGCCACCCACCAGGGTGAGAAGCGGGGGGAGCCGGGCCGGACCCCGCCGCCGGGGGAGGCCGGGCGAGAGGCGAGGGCGACCGTCCCGCCGGCTTCCTTCCCTCCGCCACGCCCGTGTTTGAACAGTGAAGTCAGCGGGGACAGCGCAGCGCAGCGCAGCGCAGCGCAGCGCAGCGCAGCGCAGCGCAGCGCCGGCGCCGGCGCCTCCCTGCCTTCTGGCCGATCGGGGGCCTCGAAGGGACCGTCTCCCGCTCCGCCCGCGGGCCCCGACGGGGCGGGGGTCTCGGCCGGGGAGCCGCGGATCCGGCGGCCTGGGAGCCCCGGGACCCGCACCCGCCCGGACTGCCCGAAGAGCCCGCGCGGGGCGAAGCCCCCCCCCCCGCCAACGCCGGTCCCCTCCCTGCCTCCCCGGGGCGCGGAGGACGGGGATGCCCCGAGCGGCCGGGAGGGGAGGATGGGGCCCGCAGCGCCCGCCGCCCCCCGGCCGACCAGCGCCTGGCGGGGAAGGCCCGACCCTCCGCGGCGCCCGGCCCAGCCTCACCTGACCGCCGGCCGGCCGGCTGGGGCTCCGTCGGCGGGTCGGTGCGGCCTGCCCGGCTGCGCGGCCGCTTCTGCTCGCTGCCTCCCGTCGCTCCGCCGCCGCCGCCGCCGCTCCTCGCCCACCTCCAGCTCCAGCCACCGGAAACGGAAACGCCTCGTCGACGGGCCGCCCGCCCACACGCCCTGACTCACCCGCGCGCCACTTCCGGGGTAGGCGACGGGCGGGCGAAGGCACGCGTCACTTCCGATCCGTCAGGGCGCCCCGCTCTAACCCCCCTCCTCTCTATCGTCCTCAGGTTCTTCTCCCCGTTTAATTCTTGGGCCGCTGCGTGGCCGGAGGGCAAAAGGCACTTCCAGCCCGGTCCTCGCACTTACGGCCGTTCCCCGCCTCCCCCCGCCCCCATTGAGGCAGAAAACGAAAGTTCCTTCCAGCTGGGGAAACACAAGAAATAAAAGCAAAGGGGCAGAAGCGCTAAAGCCCCCGTCCTAAGCAGGGACCCCCATCCTAAGCATCGCCTGCGGTGCCCGAAATCCCGCCCTCCTGCCGACGCCTCGCTGGCCCGGCCCCGGGGCCCCAGGAGGGCATCCCTGGACGGCGGCGGCGGCGGCGGCGGCGGCGGGAGAAGCCCTCCTCTTCTGAGGCAGCAGCACCGCACTGCGGAGAAGCGGCCAAACGGCAGCTGGGAAGGCGCTGCGCTTCGCCCGGCACGGGCTCCCCTTCTCCGCCAAGGAGCAGAAGCGGGGAGGTCGCCCCGGAGGGGGCTGCCTGCTCGGGACCCCTGGCCTCCTGCAGCTGGGCATGGCGTCTCCGGGGCGCCTCTCCTGCGCCCGGCTCCATCCCCGGTTCTTCTCTAGGTCCCTTCCCAAGGCCAGGCAGGAATTCGATTGACCTCTGGTGGGTTCTTGAGGGGAAGCCCCAGAGAGCCAAGTCCATTTGGGAAGGCTGATGGAAACCCGCCTCCCACCCCTGCACATGCACACACAGACACTTCCCCTCTTTATAAGAGCGTTTATAACTTCCCACGTGGGGGTTCGTATAAGTAATCACATTATTATAATTGCACTTGTGGTGCTTCTTCCCCGGGCACGACCTCACAACTAAGGTGGAACCCCACAGTCCTGGTTGCCTTGAGACAGGTGAGGATTCCAATGGCGGCGACGGCTCAGCTGGCATCAGGATGCAGAACTGGTTCTCTCTTAATCGACATCTCCGCAGGTAAGGCCGAATTGGGCAGTTAAGGCCCAGAGATTGCCAGGGTGAGTCTTCCACAGCCATGGCTCTCTGGCCTTGAGAGCAGGGCAGCCCCAGCGGTCAGCCTGGCCTTCTTTGACCATCTCCTGAGGGGCCCCTTTAACTGGAAGGAGAGCTGGCTCACGTTGACAGTATTTGTGTCTGGGCACCAGAGGGCTCAATTTCAGGGCAGTTGACTTCTTCCTCTTTTCCTCCTTCTCCTCCCTAGAACCATCTACGAGAAGAACAGACCGTAAGTAACTGGAACTCAAAGAAAACCTTGTCTTAGTAAGGCAGGGCAAATGAAGGGGTTCTTGGTGCTGGAAGGAGAAACCGGGTTTGGGATACCCTGGATATTCCCGAGTTATTGGCTACCCATGGATCTATGGGTGTCCTTGTGGGGCACAGCATCACATACACGCTTTGCTCGGTACTTGCAGCCTTTCCGAGGATGATAAAAGGGAAAGCCAGAATGAAGCTGGAAGAGACCCCCTTGTAGGGGAAGGTGAGTGAAGACGCCAAGGAGAGGTCGATTTCTTTGAAGACCCAGGTGGTCTTGGGCTCTCTGGAGAGATAGACCTGTTTTGAACCGGAGGGGGGTGGGGTGGACAGCCTCCCCTGACCAGTCCTGTGCCCTTCCTTTCCTGCTCACCAGGTTGTCTTCTTCAGCTGCAACCCCAACCAAGTCCAGCTGCTGCAAATGGTAAGCCCCACAGTGGTGACCCCGCTGGGGCCCAGGTGCCCAGGCAGGTGCCGTTGCTAGCTCTACCTCCCCCCTCCTCAGCAGGGGATCCGGAAGGCAAGGCTCAGGCTGACCCGTCGGCCCCCAAGGATGTTTCCCCAGAGCCGGCCCTCCCGGCTCCTATGCCTCCAGAGGAGATCATGGCCCTGATTCAGGAGCTACAAGCTGCGCATGAGTTCCAGTCTTCTCACTTCCAAGAGCGTATGTTGGAAGGATGCCTTCTCCTGCCCCTCCCTCGGGGCAAGGGGGTGGTGGTAGTGTCTGAGCTGAAAAGGCCCAGATTTTACCCTCTCTGCGGGCATCAGCTGGCGCTCTCCTTCCAGGCCGGCAGGATCTTCGCAGCTGCCACGATTGCCTGAAGTCCATGAAGATCCTCAGGGAACACCTCCAGGCTGTGAAGACCCGGCTGTGGCATGTTGAGACCATGCTGGGCATTCAAGTCCCACCTCAAGAGCTGGACCCGGAGGAGGAGCAGGAGGAGCCAAGCACCCGGGGAGTGGCCCCCTGCGACCCCGACCTCCCTCCTGCCCCCCCTTTGTCTAACGGGGGTGCCTGAGAGGCGAGGAAAGCGGGCGGAGGGTTGGTGGGCCTTCTGAAGGCAAGCAGGAGAGCAGCATAAAGAGAGATCTGCAAACTCTAACCACACACGTCCCGGGTGTTTTCTTTTTTTGAGTGCTGCTCCTCAAAACTTCCGCTCTGCTACCCCGCACCCAATGATGAGTGGGGAGGGGGTTGTGTTCCTTTAATAAAGGCCGAGCGAATAATACTGCAGAGACAGCCCCCAAGTCTGGGAAGGAGGCAACCTGTAGCTCAAGAGGACTCCTCCTCCTGTTATCCTGTGCAGTGCCTTCCCTCCAGTGCTGTATAATAAAGCAGAAAGGACGCAGAAATCAAAACATTTCAGAATATAATGGGAGGATTTTGACACCCTGCACACCCCAGCCTCAGCCAGCAGTAAAAAAAAGAGAGAGCGGGGTTTAGACCACAACGTTAATGCCAACTGGGGAATTCTGGGCATGGAAGTCCACCCAACTGGTGCAGCCCAGCCGCTGCCATCCAGGCCCTCCTCTCCCCCGCCCGCTTGGCAGCCAGGAGGCAGACCGGCTGGGCTCTGCAAATGGGATGCGGGCAGTTGGAGGCGGCGGGATCCTCCCGGGTAGCCCTCTCTGCACTTTCGTAGCTCTGTCCGGTGCCGCGGCCCGCTAGGACTGCAAATCCCAGGATGCAGCGCGGCCCGGCCGACGTGCCCGCCCCGCCCGCCGGGAAGGAGCTGCGAAGCGCGGCGGACCAGGTGAACGCCGGGCGGGCTCCTCGTGCAAAGCCGGGAGCGGCGGGCGCGGCAGGCGGGGCGGCTCAGGGGGTCTGGGCCGCTCGGGGCGCCTTCTCCAACCTGCACCCTTTGTAGGCACCATGAGGCTGACGCGGCTGCTGGCCATGGCGGAGAAGCTGACGCCCCCTTGGGCCCCCGAGCTCGGCCGGGCGGGGAAGGCGGCCCGGAGGAAGAAGCCCGCGCTGACGCCCATCCCGGAGGAGGACTGGCAGGTCTTCCGGGGAGACACGGTGAGTTGGCAGCCCGACGTCGGAAGGCAGGCGCACCTCGCCCGCCCGGATCCCCCGACCCACCCGCCGCCCCCCTCCCCCCCCCCCCCCAGGTGCAGATCCTGAGCGGCCGCGAGGCCGGCAAGCAAGGCCAGGTCATCCAGGTGGACAAGGAGGAGCAGTCGGTGCTGCTGGAGCGCCTCAACATGGTAAGGGGGGGGGCTCTACGGGAACCCCTTCCTTGCAGGGAGACCCCCGCCCTGGATACCCGGTGGGCTTTCCTGGGGCAGGAGGCTGCAGGCTCCACTGTGCTTCTCTGCCCCAGGGCTACTACTATGCGGACACCAAGGCAGGCAGGGCCATGATTGCCAGAGAGAAGCCGCTGTCCTTGAAGCAGGTGGGCCTGGTGGACCCCACCGACAGGTAAGGCTAGATTGGCTCCTCCCACTTCCCTCCTTGGGGGCCCAAAGTCATAGGAGCTGCCCCATGGCCTCGGGGGGACCCAGTTGGGGGGCTGTCGCTCTCCAGGGAAGTGGTTTCCCCCCCCCCCTTTGCCAAGATGGCTGCTTTTTAAAAACCCTCAAGATTTCTATTGTTTTTTTCAAACTCTCCTGGTGGGGGACTGAATGGGGGCCCTCCGAGCGTTCGTAGAGAGGTTGGCTCTGGTTCGAAAGGCAGACTGGCAACTCCAATTATACTTTCAAAACCTTCTGCCTCCTTCCCACGCAACCGCCTCGGGCCTCCCCCGTTGTGTCCACTTTGTGTGATCTCAGGCTGCCCACCCAAGTGGCTTGGCGCTACACGGAACAGGGCGAACGCGTGCGGGTCTCCCTCCGGACAGGCCGGATCATCCCGAAACCCCTCGAGCAGAGGGAGGACGGCATCATCCCGGAGCTGTGGGTCGGTAAGCAGCTCCTCCGCTGAGCGAGGGAGGAGGAGGAGCCAGTGGCCTTCCTGGACAACCTCTGCTAGGCCCTGCCTCGGGGCCAGCTTGCTCTCAAACAGCATAAGGACTAGAGTCTTGAAACTTTCCTCTCCTGCCAATTCAGACGGCCCCAAGGACACCTCCACCAAGGACGCCCTGGAGAAGACATACACCCCGTCGTTGAAGACCTTCCAGGAGGAAATCATGGAGCAGATGGGGATCGTAGAGAGACGGCGGCACAGGAAGTCTTACTGGTATTGAGGCGCCCCTCCCCTTCCCAGAGAGGGAGAGACCGCAGGAACCGGAGGAGCTCTGCGTTCACACCAGTGGGGTCTTTTTATCAAAGGCCAAGAGACCACTGACAATAAACATCCCTTAACGAGAGAACAAGCGTACAGGTGTTTACAAATGCAGAGGGTGGGTCCATGGGCCTGTTCGGCTGGGGTGCAGCGGGACACACTCCGGGGGACGAGAAGGCCAGATCCTTCCGCTTCTCCTGCACCAGACACAGGGAAGAGCCTCCTCAGTCTCCTGCAGCCAGGCCCCAGAGGTCAGAGGGCGGCACCTTCTTGGCAGCCACCAGCACCAGGTTCCTGGCGGAGAGCGCTGGGTTGAAGAGGGGGATGAGCTCGCAGGGGAAACCTGTGGGAGGCAAGAGGAAGGGAGTGGGCTTGGGGCAGCCTTGTCAAAGGGGCCGGGAACAAGGAGCCCTGGCACAGCTCCCCCCCCCGACCCCCAATAAAAGCAGAGGGTGGAATCCGAGAAGATGCCTGGGCTCCAAAGGGCTGCCCTACCCAGAGGCAGTAGGACACCACTGGATGCCAGCTCCTCTCCGGCCGAGACCCCAGGTGCAGCTTACCTTGCTCCTGCAGGTAAATCATCCGATCAAGGAGGATGAGAGTCTCCACCAAGGGGGCCAGCAGGAGAGCAAGGCTGAAGAAGACCACCACCCGCCGCTGCTGAGCCAGAGAGGCAGGCTCCAGGGGCCCACTGGGGCTCATCCCCACACGCTCCAGTCCCTGGCGAGCATACCTGCCCGGGAAGGAAAGGCTGCACTTGGCTGTTCCGGACAGAGGACTTGGGGCAGGGGGGGATCGGGGGGAGGGCCGTCCCAACCCCACCAGCTGGGGGAGGCACCCCCGCAGCTCACTCACTGCTCAAAAGTCATCTCGTGGCTCTTGGGAATGGCCTGCACCCCGAGGCGTTTCTTGGTGGGGTCGATGGCCCGGATCATGGTCTCCAGCCTGGCCCGGAAGCAGTGCACCCTCAGCGAAGGACTGTCGTGCTCCAGCCTCAGGAGGTAGTCCTCCATGGCGTGGCAGGCCCCTTCCCGGGCCTTGTAGGAGAGCTGGTGGCCAGGCAGGGCCGCCACCCAGTCGCTCAGGGGGTAGCCGGGCTGGGCGCCCTCTCCGGTGCTCAGCTTCATGTAGCAGCAGGCCACCGAAGTGATGCCCACAATGTGGGGACAGGCCACGAAGAGCCGGAGGAGAGTCGCGCTGAGGTCCCCGCAGGCATGCAGGCCAGTGAGCAAAAGCGCCCCCGGCGGGAGCTGGGCTTGCAGGCAGGCTGGAGGGCTCTGCCCCAGGGATCCTGGGCCGCCGCCTGCACCTCCCTTTCCAGCCTCAGTTTCTCTTGGCTCACAAGGCTCGGTGGGTTGGCAGGCAGAGGCTGCTCCCCGTGATCCCCCATCTCCAGCAGCCTCCCCAGAGTGCAGCAGCCCCAGGAACTCTGGCCACCGAGTGTGGGGACTGACCCAGCCCACCACGTGGCTCGGCCCCTGGATGGGGGGGCTGCCTGGTGCCTGCAAGACGGAGGGGCCCAGTCAGGAAAGGGGCAGCAAGGCGGAGGGAGCCCAGCCGTCGGCTCCCTCCGCCCCACTCTTCACCTGCCGCCTGGCCTGCTCCTTCTCCAGCTCCTTCTCCAGCGCCCGGTCATGCTTGGCAGCCTGGGCGACCAGGCGGGCGTCTCCCTCCACCGCGGTGACCGACAGCTGCAGCCCGAAGGCCAGGAAGCGGGCAAGGTGGCCCTGCGGAAGGAGAGGCAGAGGCCGAGGAGGCACCCAGGCCCAACCAGGGCAGGGGGACCCAGGGCTGACCCCCCTCCGCTGCCGAGGCTCACCTGCCCGGCGCCCACATCTACCACCCGGCGGCAGCCGGTCAGCTCGCTCAGCCGCTTCACCACCTGCCGGGCAGAAGGCGGTCAGGCCGGGGCGGCTTCGGGCCGGCCGCCCCTCGCCCTCCAAGAACCGCCCGCCTGCCCGCCCCGCACCTGGGCCAGCCGCCGGACCTCGTGCTGCTTCTTGGGCCGCAGGTGCCTGCGGAAGCGGGGCGGCAGCGGGGGCTCCCGGGAGGCGGCGGCGGCGGGGCGGCGCGGGAAGGCCAGGGCGTGGGCGGCGGCGCGGAAGGCCAGCAGCGAGAGCGGCCAGGGCTCGGTCGGGCGGCCGCTCCGCAGCAGCAGCGCCGCCACCTCCGGCGGGGAGAGCTCGCCCAGGGCCGCCTGCCAGCCGCGGGGGAGGCGGCCCCAGAGGTCGTCGCTGAAGAACTCCTGCGGGGGGAGAGAGAGAGAGGCGGGGGCGGCTCAGCGGGGGGCACCGGCCCCGGGGGGGGGGGGGGGGGGCGGGGGTGGGGCTTACGATGACGTAGGCGTCGGTCAGCGGCCGGTACAACGCGAGGACGCGGACCAGGCTGGCGGCCAGGCGCTTCTGCTGCTCCAGGGCGAAGCCGCGCATGGCGGGCAACTTTGGCCTCGGCCGGCACCCGTCGCCTCGCCGCCCGTCCCCCGTCGCGCTTCCGGGCTGGGGCTGGGGGGGCCTCCGCCCGCCGGTCGCTCAGCCCGCAAAGCCCCCCACCTCCCCCCCCACCCGGTTCTCCCTCCGGGGCGGGCGAGGCTGCAGCCGACCGGCGTCGGTTGCCAAGCTTGGGGGAAGGCCGGCGGAAGGACTTCCCTGTGGCCGGAAGTTCCCCTGCAGGGCGGTGCTTCCGCATCCGGGTCGGCCGCGCGGTGCCGTGGTGGCGGAGCCAGGTGGGCGTGGGTTCCCCGTGGCGGGCGGGGGCGGGGGGGGGTCCCGGAGGCGCCCATGACGCCGCCGGCGGGGTCGCTGTGATGCCGTCGGGGCCCCGCCGCGGTCACAAAGCCGGGCCTGCCGGGCGGGGAAGGAGGAGGAAGCCTGGCCGGCCAGCCCGGCCTCGCCGCCTGGACGGAGCCGCTCAGGTGCCCGAGGGGGCGGCCGAGAGGATCGCGGGGCTGCGGGGGCCCCTTCCGGGGGGGGGGGGGGGGGGGGGGGGAACGGACGGGGCTCCCGGGGGTCACTCCCGCTCCCTCCCTCCCTCCCTCCCTCCCTCGCAGGGCAGCCCTGCCGACCTGCCCGTCTCCTCCTGCAGCCGGAGCCCTTTAGAGAGCCGCCTCGCTGATCGGGCGCGATGTCGGACATCCTCCTCAACCTGGACACGGTCCTCCCCCAGCCGGCCCAGAAGAGCTCCGAGGGCAACAAGAAGCACCAGCGCTTCGTCAAGCGGCGGCAGTTCCTGGAGCGGAAGGGCTTCCTGAAGCAGAAGCAGCTGCCCGCCCAGCCGCCCCTGCCCAGGCGGGATGCCTCCCTCGGCTGCCGTGGGGGGCCCGGCCGGGCCAAGAAGAAGCAGAGGACGGAGGCGGAAGAGGGCACCGAGGCCTCGCCAGAGGCAGGGCCCCCTTGCCGACCCAAAACGCTGGCCAAGGAGAGCTCCGGTTCGGGAGCTGTGGACCCCGGACGCTGGACTTCCAGCTCCTCGGTGGCTGCGTCGGCCTCCAGGAAAACGGGGAGCGGTGCTGGGAAGCCCAACGGGACCCTCTGCAGCCGGGGGGATGTTCCCCGAGTGGGGCGGCTGGACGAGTTCAAGAGTGGCCTCCCCGACGCACCGGTGGTAGCCAAGCCTAGCAAGATGGTGGCCATTGACTGTGAGATGGTGGGCACAGGGCCCGGTGGGCGCAATAGTGACCTGGCTCGATGCAGCGTGGTTGGCTACTATGGCGATGTGATGTACGATAAGTACATCCGTCCCCTGAGCCCCATCACCAACTACCGGACCCGGTGGAGTGGCATCAGGCAGCACCACATGAGAGACGCCGTCCCCTTCAAGCTGGCCCAGAAAGAGGTGAGGGGGAGGCGCAACCTCCTGGCCCTCCTTCAGTGCCCGTGCAGGGGTGCCTTCTGGTCCAGGGCATTGTGGGCATCCTCTTGGAGGCCAGGTGCTCGCAGGGTCCGAACGAGCTTCCTCCTCTGCCTCCTTCCAGATTCTTAAGCTTCTCTCGGGGAAGGTTGTCATTGGCCACGCGATCCACAACGACTTCAAGGCCCTCAAATATTTCCATCCCAAATCCTTGACCAGGGACACTTCAAAAATCCCCCTGCTCAATCGGAAGGCTGGCTTCCCTGAGAACGAGTCAGCTTCCCTGAAGCGACTCACCAAGCAGCTCCTGCACCGAGACATTCAGGTAACAGTGTTGGGCGCACCTGCCCGGGTGCTGAGCCCGGCTGCTCATTTGGGGCGAAGTCTCTTAAGCCCAGTGTTTGTCCTGCAGGGAGGGAGGCAGGGAGAATGGGCACCTCTGTGGCCAGGGAACAGGTCTATGGCAGGACTTCGAATGACACTCCCCCTCAAGACTCTCCTTCCCTCCCTCCAGGTTGGTCACAACGGACACTCGTCGGTCGAAGATGCCCGGGCCACCATGGAGCTGTACAAGGTGATTGAGGTAGAGTGGGAGAGGCACTTGGCCACCTCCCCCCTCCAGGACGGACCGCCAGGCACCACCACGTGACGGCCCTGGGCCAAGAGCCAGCTGGCCTGGACCCGATGGAGCGAGAGCTGCAGATGCTGCAGAAGCTTTTGGAGGGAGGGGCAGAGGAGGGGAAGAAGGCGTAGCGGATCTGAGGGGTGGGGTGGGTTGAGAAGGACGCGTCCATTACATCGTCTCCAGCTGAGGCCCACTTTGGTGTGTTCCTTGCAGGCTTCTTGGGAGCCGGTCTTGCCCTGAGGTGGGGAGGAAGGCCTCTGCCTCCCAGAGCTCTAGGGGTGCCGGTGCCTCCCCAGAGGTGGGGTTGGGAGCGGGAGTGGGGCCACAGCCACGGAGGGTTTCCTCAACCGGTGGGGTTCGTGGGCACAACCCTCCCAACGCCAACCTCCTCTGTGCTGAAGGCTGGCGCTTTCGTGGAGGCTCGGGACCTCCAGCCGGCTGAGCCTGCCTTGCTGAAAGGCACGTGGACAGTGACCCCGGAAGTTGCTCCCCTCTTCTGGAGGTTGGGGGCACCCCGGCTGCAGGGACCACCGGGATTGCACCCTTCAGCAGCAGCAGCAGCAGCCTGGGAGCCGCCTCGGGCCCTGTGAGGCAAAGAGGCCCTTCTGGTCGGCCGCTTCAGCTGCAGCGGCAGGATCGGGCCCTCCAAGACTTTCGCTGGGACCTCCCGTCATCAGAGCAGCCTTCCGATCGTGGCCCATTGTCTCAAAACAGGGGAGGGGCCTGGTTTTTATGGCTTGGATTGGGGGGGGGGGGGGCGGGGGGGGGGGCAGCGGTAGAAGTCGCGTAACTTGTGCGCTTGGTGTGGGGGATGTAAAGGGGTTTTACCCAATTAAAAAAATGCCTTCCCCCAAACCAAAAGCTTCACCCACCTGTATCCCTCAGGTGGATCCTCGGGAAAGCCGGCCTGCCTGGCCTGAGCGCCTTGGCGGAAAAGTCAGCTGAGCCGCAGGGGGGGGG